CTTTATCCAGTCTTGAAAAGTCTTTAGTTTGGTAAGCTGGGATTGTCTTGCAATCAATCATGTGCATAATTTTAATAAGACTTCATCTTAATAGTTATAGCTGGGGCTCACTGGGGCTTCTTTTCACCGTCTGCCAAAGCAAGAGATTAAAGTTTGTCTATGGTGCAGCTTTCTGACATCATCCAAAGAAGCAATACTAAACATCGCTCTATCCTGTTCTAGCTCACTGGACAGTGAGGGTCAAGGCTGAGATTCCCCTTTCAGAACTACTACACAGTAGTTTACCCATAATCCTGTTCTGTACTGCTCAACAGCTTCTGTTTAAACTTCTTTTGAGGAAAACTTGTCCTGTGTTTCTTGCTCAAATCCACCAGGTGGCCTGGTGTGGTAAATTAGTGCGGTCAGTGTTAATCTCGTTAAATTGACGTTAACACCATAACCGCATTGGATGGCGCTAACATGTTAACGAGCTAACCTCGCTAACACGTTGATGCCATGCACGCATGGGGCGATCCGTGCTAACTCACTAACAGAGATTTGCCGGATTAATGCAGTTATGACGTTAATGTCATTTTAAGGAGATTAATGCTGACTGCACTAATTTAATTATATGCAAACATGCCTAAAAATGTAGTATATAATAACAAAATCAAAGTTTGGATCATTGTAACAAGCTTTAGAGTCAATATTTGGTATGACTACCGTTATCCTTTAATACAGTCCGAACTCTCTTAGAAAAACTTTCTCATGTTTTCTTAAGGAAAGATTCTCCAACCTTCTTGAAGAACATTCAAAGCTCCTCTTATGCTGCATTTTTTTCTGTTCTTTGTCGAGATGATCCCACACTGCTTCAGTAATTTTGAGAGGTTCTGGGGAGGCCAATCCATGACTGACAGAGTGTCATAGAAATGTGTTTTTCTGCCCGGGTATGCTTTTACTGCATTGGAAGTTGAATTTTTCATCACTGTCATGATGAGAAATGAAGCAGTTGACAATTCGATACGTTTGAGATGGTATTGAAACCTGATCATACTTTTCCATACAATATTTCCATCAGGTTTGACAAGATTGCACAACACCACTGGCTGAAATGCAGTCGCACAGAGAGCCTATGTTGTACAAATGACTGATTGTCAGGTTCTTGTGTAATGTGGCATATTTCAGTCATTTCTTCCTGGTTCCTTTTATTAGACCATTTCTGATGAGGTTTCAGTGAACAGTATAGGGCTCACCTGTTGGGCCATATGCAACAGTCAGGTCCTGTGTCAGGTCTTTGCTGGATTTTTTCCCCTATTTCTTAAGGACTTTTAGATACTGTTCATCTGCTGTTATATATTTTAGGCCTACAACTTCTTCTTTTGTCCTCCATGGGTTCCATTCCCACAATTTTTTAAGGACAGACTGCACATTATATCGCAATATGCCAATATTTCAGTTACTTGCTCTTTGGGAATCACCCTGTTGGTGCAATAGCACCAACTTATGTCAACTTTTATGTTATTCTGTTACCATTTTACTTATATTTGACTAAAGAAATTAGAACAAATGAAATGTATTTGCAGCAGGCTGCTAGTAACAAAGTGGCTAAAAATACAATTTAAAATGAGTTCTGTGTAAATGCATCATTGGTTAATCCCCTGAGTTAAATGGCCATTTTATGTGTGAAAAATATACAGGTCAGTGTTAGGTGGCTTAACAACAACAGGACAGTGCACTTTAACATTTTTTAAATAATTTTTAGTTATTATATGTCTTATAGTCTTATCATTAAAAAACTAAAACCAACCAATGTAAACAATACAGTGTCATTAACAGCAAAAGGTTTTATTCACAAACATACAGTTTGTGTAGACCACTTGTGAAGTAAAAAATAAAAAATAAACCAAAAAACATGGTCTACAAACCTGGATTTATTCTGTGCTATTTCTTCATGTTCTTAACTAGCGCGTGTCTGTGAAGTAGTGTGCATGCATGTGTGCATGAGGGTCTGCGACCTCTCAGGTGTTCCTGTGAACAGGCTCCTTTTTCACTGCTCACAGAAAGAATAATGTGCTCTAACTGATTTAGCAGCAAAAATTGTATTATTGCATTTTGACTAATTACATCTACCCTGTACTGACAGAGAGGACAGGCTGCACTGCGTCGCTCTTTCTCCTACTCCTCTCTCAGCTTTCTGAAGACCTTCAGCTGACTGTAGCTATTTATGTAATACTCATTTGTAAAATTAAAGGTAAATGAGTCAGCCACAAATGTATACTTTGTTAGTCTATTAGTGTGTTATGTCAGGTATTTGCACTTTGCTACAGTAGCTCACATTTTTAGTTCACTACATTTTTAAACCAAAATTCAGTGGAAAGTGAACTGTTAAGTAAAATGATTATGAAAATATTTTTCTATATATGACTTGGTGTTAAAACCAGAGAAAATAGTTTCACAACTAAGTCCTCTGCTTGCTATATCAGTCAAATATAGTTAAATAGGTTTTGTTTGTGTACTTACAGGAATCAGTTTTTCTTTTTTAACCACAGCTGTAGTTATGTACCGCTAATGGCGCTGTACGAATTTACATTTCATTTTCTCTCAGGCTTCAAAATATTACCCGTGTTTTTGTAATTAATGATGGCATTTTAAAAAAAAGAAAGAAGTTTGTTTACAATCAAACCTCCACAGGGCACCTTTAAATCATTTTACAGTGAGATGTCTTTACTTTAAGTATGAATTTTAATTATTTTCGCAGCACTGCTGAGGTGAACCATTTTCTTAAATTCAATATTTCATCAAGGTAACAAGCGCATGCTCTCGCACATAGTTTCATGTGTAATCCAGTTAAAATAGCTGTAATATTTAATTCATATGAGAATCATTAAAAGTGCAGTGGTGCTGTGTCCATTATGCATTCCTTTTCTAGCAGGATAAAACAGTCCTCAGATGTGGGCGCTGCACTTTGAAGTGTTGTCTCAGAAGCAGGCCAACTCTTACAGGAAGTCCCTGATGTTTAAAACATGCTATGACGGGGGACTAACAAAGGTGAGCACTTGTGGCTTGCCCCAAGATGAGCCAAAAATGGCCAGCCAGGAATTTTTGCCTAGATCTGATGGAGCGTACATACAGCAGACATCAAATAAACAAAATAGTGGACAAATATACACATGGGTAATGGTTAGAACAGTACAAAAACGAGTGCAGGAAAACACAGCAACAGATAAGCTGGAGAGATGGGCATGCCTCGTGTTGATGGTCAAACAGCAGCAACAGAATCCAGATAGTGCAGCATAAATATTACCTAATGATCTAGATCCGCTATATACACAGAAGATTACTGTGTACAGTAGCATCAAGAAGGGCATTCTTTGCGTAATGAAAACATTGACCATAGACACGTGTGGGGCAGGCTGCATTTAAAGTGCTGAAAGAAGACTTTTAAAACCCAAAGTCTGCACAGGATTGATTTAATTGATTTAGTTTAAGCCATTATGTTCAATGTCCTCAAATTAATCCTGATGTGTTTATTACAGTGAATCAAAAATAATTACTATATGCAATTTGAGTTCTTAAATTGTCAGGACCAGTGTGGAGTTCACCCCAGAACATGTATCGGAGCAACTCTGATTCAGATTTATTCACCTGCTAATATAAAAACTTGTAAATCTTGGGATTAAAGGGAGGACTTTTCAGGGATTTTTGGCCTAATAATAACTAGAATATAATAAAATGTGTGTTTTAGCAAGTTTGCACACATTCTCAAGATTCCTGTTTCCCTGTGTTGGAAAAGTGACTACAGTTTTGTGGATAAAATGACTTCCACTGGGAAGTTGGTGTCATGAAGACAGGAAACTGCGCTGAGCTAGGCTGGATGTTATGCGGGAAAAGCAGGAAAGTGTAGTGATCCACAAGCAAGCAGGAATTCACATTCTGTCAACTTATTATGGCTTCGCACACACACATTCACACACTTACTTCAACCCCCTACTGTAAATGCCATCTGTATTTCTGCCTCTGTCAGGCCTTTTCCTTGACCAAACACACACACAGACACACAGCTACAGAGGGGAAATGGCTCGTGCTGCTCCCAAATAAGCTGATGTGTCATGGCTTCCTTTCTGATATTTCTGAAAAAAAAAATAAAATTCAGGAAGGAGGCTGCAGCACCTCTCTTTTTCTTCCTCTTCTTCTCCTCCTGTCACGGTGTGAGACGAAGCTGTGGCTGTGACAGTTGTTCTTCTTCTGTAAGGATTTGCAGCTCCTGTGGTGGGAGACGCTGCCACTCTGGAGAGCCATGAGCCGCTGTTGTGTGGTCAAAGTAATCACCTTGACAGAGATCCAACTTTTACAGGTAGGGGAAATGACTTATTTACAGCCCAGGGATTTTGAGGCAATGACACACACTGAAGAAAACATTGTGTTAAATTCTATGTGTGCATTTGTTTGCACGCAAGACACATTTGCAGTTACAGCCAGACTAACCATGGAGGCACCGTGGAATGGGACTTTTGCTATCAGTTCGCTATCCCAGTCTTATCTTTCCTCCCATTGCACAATCTAGTGGGTGGTTACAGCTATTTACTGGTTAGCAGGCTCAGCAAAATACAGTAAGCATGACCGAGGAAGAGTTTTGTTCCACTTTCAACTCATCTCCATCCATTTGAGATGGGAAAACAAGATGTTAGATATTAATAATCTGCATCAATATGGCGCAAAGTGCGGCATTTTGCAGAAATGAATCCAAAACTCCTAGTAGGTTTTGCCCATAATTTGTACAGCTAGCTAATGTCACCATCACCCAGTGTTTCATAAGTTGTTGGATTTTTCTGAAGTGAAAGGAGAACTTGGGCAAGACTGAAACTGGATTAGGCAAGAGCTTTGTGCATTTCAATGTAAAACCTGCAAGGTTGTCTAGTACAATGGCTTTGTGAGTGCAGCATTTCGGTGGGAGAGGGCCACTAAAGAAATACGCCTCTTAACTGCGAGGTAAATGACACCACTGTTAAATGGATCTCACAAATAGAGGCTAAAGAACTGGGCTTACGTTTAGCTGTGAAGGTGTTACTGTAATTTCGGGCCTGCTGCTATCTGTAAGTAGAAGCTGAGGTTTGGGATGTTGCTTTATTTTAAGCCTGACAGAGCTTTGAATTGATATGTTGAAGAGCTGCAGTTGTATTCACTTGTGATGGGATTTCTTGGGCGTGTACTGTAGAGTGCTTTAGATTTGATTAGGACATATGTAGGGACAAAGGCATGTTCTGGGTTTTGGCATTTTTATTTTAGTGGTCTAATATCTCTAATGACGAAAAGTGAGGAAGATACAGATATATATTATTTTATTCAAACACTCTGAAATATGCTGACAAGAAGGTGTGTTCTAAAGTTAAACTATGTGCATTAAGTCAAAAGGCAAAAAGCTTTCATAGTTTAATGTAGGTTTGCATGTCAGGAATAACTGTGCAAATGTGTGTAAATAGAAAACTGAACCCATGACCTCCTCTGTGCCAATAATCTCAAACACTGCCTCGATTGTTGTAGCAGGTGCTGGTAGCCGTGCCGAAAAAGAGGAAAACAACCAAAACAAAACAAAACTGAAGCATCTGAATAGCTACAACATGCCCAAACTCCTGATTGATTACATTCTTATATTCTCTCCTGACCCATGTGTATGGCGGGCACTGATAATTTTCCTGCATGCCCGCTTCACACATGCACAGGCCTGCCATTGTCGAGGCTGGCCTTGGTGACTGAAGCACCATTACTCCTCAAATCTAATCAGATTTCCTTAAGTGGATAACAAGCGTGTCTCCGGCATTTACAGTAGTGAGAAAGCTGAAGTGAAACCAGGACAATCCGCTGTCACACAAAGCAGATGTGGTGTGCAGCGGTCCTGGCATCCCTCCTGCTATCCAAAGTGGAAAAAAATGTTGATTGGCTAACAACTGGCATCTTGTTTAGCCTGGAGAACTCAGATAACAACTCTTAGTCACTACTGACAAGATGAGTATTGTGATGAGCCTGGTCTTAGTTAGGTGGCTGAGTTGTGAATAAGGTCAGCTAGTCTAGCTGACAAGGGGGAATTTAATGCTGACTTTTAGCATAAAGACCAATTCTAAAGCTGTCAAAGCTAAAAACTCCCTACAGTTCAGCAGCTTTGTGCCAGACAGCATTTGAAGAATAAGAAGTTTGGTCTGAAAGCATGACGATATAAAGGATAGCTGCATAACAAATCAGTTCTGACTATTTTTTTTTCCTGAGGCAGCGTAAAAGAAGAAGTAACACTTGGACTGTTCTAACCAACAGCTGATGATACTTTTTTTTGGCATTTTAAATAAGCTAGCTGCTTTCCTCATCTCGACATAAACGACACCTGTCGCCTGTTTTTAAGGCTGAGTACTGTGATCTAAATGTGTTACCATGAAATTAGGAACACATTAAATATCGGCATTTTCAAATCATGTTCGAGTAATACTGGTCTGGCCAATCGAAGCTTCTTGAGCTTGTTGTTGCTCAGTTTTTGGTGGGTCCTGATTCCGTCAGTCCCTGAAAGAGCATCTATTCCATGGTTTAAAATAACTGAGAGCTTGCTGTTTTGACCAGTAAATAAAACAGATTTGGGAGGAAGTACGCGAGACACAGGCAAACTGACCAACCTATTACAGTCAACAAGACTACCATTCTTAAATCATAGCACTTCATGTACTCCCCTAAATACTCTGCAGCCCCTAAACTAATAAAGCAAGTCACGACAGCAACCGTCTTTGTGAGCACCAACAAGCATGAAAATTTGATATTTTAGGAGGGATGTTCTTTCCTAAATTTGCCCTCAACTTACACCAAAGGATACTTCAAAATAGATTTACTGCAGTTATTGTATGGGGAACGCATAATACTAAACTATTTACTTTAAAAGCCTTGAATGAATTGAAAGGCTTGGTTAAAAATGGCATTGGAGGAGTTATTTAAAAACTTCACTGGGGAACAAGGGTCAATTGTGCTGCCACAACCCCTACAGAGGGTTGCAGAGGACTTTGGGAGATCACCACTGATTGGTCAACCAGAAAGAAAAGGGCGGTCTGAGGGAGTTAGTGATAGATGCTAAAGGCAGATACCCTGCAGTGATCAAACCTTGGATGATCTAACAGTCCAGTGTTTGAAGTGATTATCATTGCTACGCAACATAAAGGCTTACACCCAGCTTTGGGCCTAATTAGTTCACTTAGGGCCCTTTATAAAGAGCTGGTAGGGAGACTGGAAGGGACAGACACTCACTGAGAAGTCACCAGATCAACAGGATAGCAGCAGCAGCAGCAGCAGCCGTGGATCCCTAAAGTTGACCTGCTGCCACACCAGAACAAATCAATTTGAAGATTATCTGCTTTTCTGAGAATGCCACACTTAAGTGACTGCAGTTACTACACAATGCGGGATGCAACCAGAGCTTCAAATGTAAGAATACCAACTTTTAGAAACATTGTGAGCGGCTTGGTAAAGTTTATTTAACACTGCTTTCATAATGTTTTTTAAGGTTATCTTGACTATTGCTGTACTGACATGTAATTCAAGATCAACTGAATATTAAATATTAAGACTGATTGTAAAAATAGTCAGCTTAGTTGGTTAAATTCAGCTGAAGTCTCAGGGGGGAAGAAAAGCTTTTTGCTTTTAGGTTTGTTTTTTTAACTTTTAGACTGTGAGAATGAGTTCAGAGAATGAGATCAAATTCCCATAAAGACACTTTCAACATTTTTATTTCTGTATATGATTCACTTTATTATGAGTTCTAACTTACATTTTGCAAGTCTGTAAATTTACTGCGCATAAGTGACTAATCATGGCAAACTAGTTATGTGTGTTACTTTAGATATTCTTTTCATAAAGTCAACAGCTGTTTTGGACAACCCCTGTGCAAATACTCTGAGTCAGCGCTGTTTCAGCGGTATGGGAAACAGTGCCCAACCTTGCGCTTCCTGGACTAACTTAGTCAGCTTGCTGAACTGTTGAATGATCTGTTCTGCTACAGGTACAGAGCCACCTGGAGAACTCCAAGTTCCATCTCCACCAGAGCCAGAATCAGCCCGTGAAGCAGTACCTGACGCTGGGCTCCAAGCTGGCCTCCTCGGCCGCATCAGGCCACGCCGTGACACATCCGCACACCCCTGGCCAGGCACTCGCCACCGTGCCGATCATGAGGAACGGACACATGCCCCCTGTCAGTGACAGCAGTAACCCCAACAGCCCTGTTACCCTGCTTACGATGGCCAATCATGACAGTGAGGTGAGTGGACGCATGGAAAAGGAAAGAATCTCAGTCATGACTTTGTGGAACTGAAATTCAGAGAACTCCGACCGTGAAATTGAAACAGAAGTTTTGAACCACAGACTGGGTCACTTACGGATGAACTGTGGTTCATGGTTTTTGTAGATTACACAACATCCTTACAAGGTTTTCCTTTCAGCACAGCCTATTACTTTAAAGCAAAGCTTTTCTTCTCTGTTGATTTTTAATAAGCACTTGTGAAAGATTTGTTGCTGCCCCTCTAATTTCTTTCTAAGGGTGATAAATAATGGCTGACACTTTGTTGAGATGGATAGCTGACACGGTGCATACTTCAGAAGCATCAATTATGACTAAATGTACTATCTGGATTGGGTCTGAATCTTAATGCAGGGAGCAGGTCCAACTAATCATCTAAACAAAGTGATGCCATTATTGATCGCCCTCTCTCTCTGATGTGCTCATCAATAACTTCAGACATGCAGTCTCTGATGAGAGAACCCCTTTCAAAGGAGGAAACTAGGTTGGTAACAGATGCCTGTTTTTTCCCGCCAGCACCACTAACAAATCTGAGAACATGGCGGCGAAGAGCTCGTCTGTTATTGAATTAATCTCTCCACAGTTCCTCCCTCTTTTTCCCTTGTCTATTCTGGTTTGAATGTTGAGATTTCAAACGAATTGGACAGCATTGAAATTCTGGTACAAACATCATCAGTCTGTCCTTGAGTACACTGAAATCACTGTTTTCTTTTAGTTTCCAATGGATGAAGTTATTGATGACCTAATTAGTCTTGAATCCGGTTTCAATGATGGAGGCTTGGATTGCATGGAGCCTAACATCATAATGCAAAACAATGTAAGTATGAATCACATCAACTTTGCTCTAATAGCTACTCATTAACCCCCCCCCCCCCCTTTTCTTTTTTAAATAATGCTTTGTGCTGATTTCTGCATTTCTGCATGGCTACTTCTGTGGGTTAGACTAGGTGAGCCTAGATTTGTGACAGTCCCCTTAACTAATCACTTCTCTGTTTTTAAAGTTGAATGGGGACTTGAAAGTGAGGTTTCTTTACCCAAACCCTTAGGTGCTGGTTTGACTCGCTTGGGAAAAAGGGGACCCGACTCAGTTTGAGGTCAGCTTAAGTCTAGAAATGAGTCAAAGTTCACTTGAGATTAGCAACATTACTAAAGAAGTTTAACAAAGCAGATTAAGAACTTTTTTTTAAAGGAAAAGTGATGACATGCGTTTAACAACTAAAGCTAAATGTATAGTAAATTCATAAATTCATAGGAAAATCACATGTGAGAAAGGTCTTTTTATACTAGTCTGTAATGATGTGCGCATAACAAAAAAAAATCAAATAAATGCTCTCAAAGTAATCAAATCTAAACCTGACATTTAGATTAGTGCATTAAAGCATTTAGTAACATAAAGGAAAACTTTAAATCAGTCTAAAAAAACACATAAAATGCACACTTTTTAACTCTTTAGCAAAAATGAAGTAGATGCACTGATGCACCAGTAGGATTCACAGACAGGGAAGAATTCAAAAACTCTGGGACAAGAGGTCCGTTTGGCCAGAGAACAGCTACACAATGGGAATCAGGCCTAACTCCACAAATAAAAAGAGGCACACACGCAGATAAAGCAAAACAGAGTAAAACACAACAGACATTGTAATGGAGGAGGAAGAATGAGGGCGAGTCAGTGGGTTTCAAATGTAGACAGGAATGCAACAGCCAGGAGCGAAGAGTGAGAGATTTTGCCAGAGAGAGTTACTGAGCCAGTGGATTGGCCTAATGCACATAGTCCCCATGGGCTTGTTCAGAAATGATACCGTGCTTAAATGGATCAATTCATCCTAATTAGTCATACAGTACGATGCATCACATCGTTTCGCTGTGTCAACACACTCAGGAACGCAGACGGGAGAGGAATTGAAGTGATTACAATTTTAGTAGTAGGGGAATTGTTCCTATCTTT